CCTCCTGCCAAACTGACGCCTTAGAAACGAGGTATCCAGCCTTTGCCGCACAGTAATTCGATACCTAGTTCGCTGGCCAACTATCATATTGGAATATCATTTGTGTCCTTATTTCTGAATCCACATTTACTAGCGATGACCCTAGCTCATTCTTTAAAAAGTCTTCATACTTATCACCATTTCAATTATTGGACAAAGAGTTGGGTTCAATCAGTAGCGGTGTCAGGGTAGGGCACGGTTGGGCGATCGCCCAGGGCGCCGCAGGGACCTCTTTTCTCCCAGCCCATTCTCATAGTTTGAGGTCTACTTAGTCGTAAAGTCCCTTAATTAAGCGAAAAATTCTTTATGTTGGCAACATCAAAATGGTACGCATTATTCAATTGTTCGTTCGGGATTCATTTTACCGGAAATCCCCGATCACAGAAAAACACATTGTCTATCTCATTTAAACACTTTGGTTAAAAAAAGATAGACGAAGCGTAACAAACTCAGCTCGTTCTCATTCATAAAATTGGTGCACGTACAAAACAATTATTTTAAAACAAAGAGTTTAAACGTCAGACCATTGATTTTCTTGGATACCGGACCTATGTTCCGCTCGTACGCGCTAGTTCAGCAGCAACTCCTCTAAAAACTTGAGGCAAAACGAAACATTTCGAGCGTGTAGGCGGTATGGAGGTATCCGCCGTAAATGTGGCGCTTTGCCGTTTGTCTGGTGGTGTGATGATAGGAAGGTCTTCGGGGAATTAATTGATAAAACCGAAAGGATTGTGATTTTGCCTTTGAAGCACCACAAAAGCATCATTGTTGGTGAGCCTCAGAGCACGCCAGCAGCACGTAGAGCCTCTTATTAATATCCAGTGCTTCTAGCTGGGTTAATGTGGTATCTAACTATCTACAAGAAAATACGAATTGCCGTACCTGTTATGTATCTTGAATTTTTAAACATATTTATTAAGTAACTGACTGCTATTCTGATGTGATGGCACACCACTGTCAAACGGTGAAGAAAAACATCGTGAGTGCAACCAGGGTGTAACCAGGTTTCCTCAGGTCACAAAGTGATGGATTGTACTTCCACTGATCACATGAATATGAATAAATTGTGCCCACATCTGACATCTAACAAATCATCGACTGCAGCCAGAAAAAAGAAAGGCACCAATTTTAGGCAATGACATTTAGGTATTTTTGATATCGTTCCTAATACTTAAATTTAAATTACAAGATAGCTTTTGTAAAATAATTAGTAGTGTAACGCGAGCACCAGCCAGCGGTATTAATATTTTTTCGAATGTAATTGAAATGCAGTTAGGGGGCGCTGAAAAAAACTCGCCAAGGGCGCTAGTAGTGCTAAAACCGGCACTGGGTTCAATCAAGTAATTATTAATGACACTCGTACAAGTAAATGGATACCTTCACAGTGAACCGGTTTTGCTTTTCTTGGATTTCATTGCCTTTTTGGGACTAATAATGGATATTGTGATAGTTTGTAATACAATCTGGTCTAATTGGTCTCATCCGTCCATAGTTCGCCTAAAAAAGCGTGGATCATAGGGTACTGGTACCAGAGGTCAGCAGTTTAGTGGCAAGTCTGAGTTCCAACTTATATAAAAAAATACACAAAGTAAATTGAAAGTCTTTTGGATAAATTTACAATTTGTACTTACTTATTTATTAAACTTTGTTATAAAATTAACAAAAGATACAAACTTATCCTTTAATAATAGTGAAAAATACGTTTTTACAAAATAAGGCAGTTTTTACCAGTGCTCAGCCGCCAAAACCTCTTGAGATTCATCTCAACAGAGGCTGACCACTGGTGCTGGTGGAATAGTTTCATGATTAATTAACTAAATTAATAAACAATTACTCTGGTTACAGAACCTAATAGGACTTAACTATGCCCTAGGAATTACAACAATGAGATACCTATCTAATTTATATTTAAATCAGTTGGAAAATTCTTCAGTAACATCGGTACCTATGTATTTAAACTTTTAAAGAAATGAAGTCAATTGTAAATTTTTTGCGGAGCTTATCTTCCTTACAGGTTTCTGTGTCAGGAGATAGAAGTATATCACTGGGAATTTTAATTTAATTTTATTTAATTTCCACTAAACCACAACCTGTCTTCTCTGTTTCTTCAACTATGTCATTCAAATTTTCCAATTTCCTTTTCTTTGTGCATTTTACACTTAATTCATAATTAGAATCATCATTTTTCTTCTTTGTGAACTCCTTCACTTTACCTTTGGAAGAATATAGAGCTGTTTTTTTTCTTTTTTCATTTCTTTGTTTTTCTTCTTTTACTTTTCGGCTCTGTTACTTTCTTTCCAGAATAGCATTTTTTTGTAACAAACTAACTATTTATGCGGCCGTCTAATGGTTTTTTGATAAATAGCGTTAAAACCAGTAGTCAGCCAGGGGTCGCTGGGTACTAAGTAGATAATGTATATAAAATTGGGATCCAGTAGTCGGCCACCTAATTATTTAATAACTCTTAACAAAAACACGATATTTTTTATCGATTACAAGGCCAAAACTCTTAATGTAAATTTTAATACAATGTGCCCTTAAACTGTGAAAAGAATTAAATAACTTACGGTGTCTGCAACCGCTTCCCAAAAAAATGAAGCACGCGCCGCTTGTCGCCTTGTCAGCTGACGACGTCGAAATGGATCCATTTTTTATGGTCTTCGCAACTACTTTGCTAAAGTAGCTCCGGTAATTATTCTAAGGCATTTGGTTTGAATGGAGCCCAGTTTTGTTAATGCACCCTTATTGCAAGGAACAATAAGAAAGCAACAATAGTTCATTACACTTCTGACCAATGCATTGTAGATGAGCTTCAATGAGTAGGGGTAGGCACCCCACCATACCCCGGCCAGCGCTTTGAGTATTGACACCGAGCGTTCACACCTTGCAACCAGGGTGTTTATGTGATCCGCCTCAGACATCTTTGCATCGAGATATACCCCCAAGAATCTAGCACTGCTTTTGATCGGGATATCCTGACCGTCTATCTCTATACGAAGATCCGGAGTGCGTCGTTTGCGTGTAAAAATGACAGCTGAGGTTTTTGGAGCGCTTAAACAAATAATTGGCATACATTTCACCATGCAATTCCTTTAGAACGTCGTGATATTCGACTGCTTTGTAAACAGTGATCTATTCATGGTAAATTATCCTATAACTTTTTAATTACTAACGGAACATCATTGATACCTGGCAACATGTTGCAGACACTTACAAGGTTTGTGTTAACGAGAAAATTCTAGACCCCAAAGTGCTACTTTAAGAACTAAGACCTAATAAGTGTATTTTACGTTTATATTTTTATCTTTTAATCCCTACGACTTTTTCTAAATTTGTTTTTTAAACAAATATAAACAAATTCAAAACAACGTATGTAAAAATCTCCAGGTCTCTATGTTAAGCGCTTTATATGAAAACTAGCTAATGGCCAAACGTTCGTGTAGCGGAAACTTGAATTTCTCCGAAGTTTATGCATACACTGATTTCATTCATACATAAACAATTACACACAAAGTTTTGGACACATCTCTTTTCTTCTAAAGTCTATGGATTAAAAAAAGTTCCGCCAGGACAACGTTCGGCCAGCGAAATCAGTTTTTGGTTAATTTCTCCTTAATGGTTGCATACACAATTTTTTTTTACCATACACAGTTATAGGACTAATTATCTGCATAATTAAATTCTTTTTTTTTTTTTTTTTTTTTTTTTTAAATTAAATTCAACAACATTCTGCTGCGCGAACGCACAGGTGAATCACGGCAAAGGGCGCGATGGGCCCGCAGACTCGAGTAGTATATATGTTCTGTGAGCGCGACAGTCGCCGCGTCGAGGGTCGCGAAATGCTGCTCATGAATATGAGCCTCTAGCATGGCTTGAAACTAGTCGAGTTCCTCGCCAATTATTACGTAAGTAAGCCGAAAACATAATAATTTATTTAGTATGTCTCACGAAAGTTACAATTTCAAAAGATAGTATAATGTTCTGCGTTTTCGCTTTTTCGTAACCACCTAAACTTGGTCGGGTTACCACGGTCATTCACTTCCTAATGACTTTAGTAGTATTATCTCAATAATTATCCAATGTACTGAGCTGAAATTTTACTGATATTTATCTGAACTAAACAAATAATTATTGACTTATCATGCAGTTCATATATCCAAACCAGTGGCCAAATAACACCGCGCGCATCAAGACCGTACTCGTGAAGAACTCAATATCATCAAACTTGTTAAATACTTACAGGATACTAATGAAACTTCGCATACATTTGAAAGCAGTTACAAGCTTTAAAATAACGTTTAAAGTAAGTCTTTGAGCTCTTATTGAGAGTGCTGGGACTAATTGAAATGTTTTTCTATTTAATGAAATATTTATGCTATGTATTATTTTGGTATTTTTGTTGCACAACAAATTTAAACTAATTCCTAAGAAGCCATGTACAAAATATGATAATAATCCGTTTAACCATTTCAAAGACCTAGCTAAACCAAAAACGTTACCCAAGTAAAATCTTCTTCTTCTATATATATATAAAAGAAAGTCGTATCAGTTACACCACTTATAACTCAAGAACGACAGAACAAATTTGGCTGAAAATTGGTAGGGAGGTAGTTTAGAGCCAGGAGACGGACATAAGATACGTTTTATCCCGTTCAAAAAAAAAGTTTAGTTTTAGTTTCCGGGAAAAACCGGATCGCGCGTACGAAGTCGCGGGCAGTAGCTAGTCTCGAATAAAGAATTTGTGAAATAATAAAAAACTATAAGCGCAACTAATTTAAAAATGTGCGTAACAATTACAGAAGCTTAGGAACTAATTATTCTATAAGATTCAAATGACCATTTTCGACAACATTTGGCCTGGGTAACGCACACAGTCATTCTCAATAGCCACAAATGGGGCCATCGTGGATGATGGAAACAAAGGGAAATGACCAACAATGAATGTAAATAAAACTCTGCACTGTTTTTGTAATAAATTACACTGAAGTTTATTTTTCATCCTGAATACATATTGACCATGTTACTCATCTAATGTTGCATCAGCATCATCAGTTCACAACTTTATTACAACTCACTCAACATACATTTCTTATGCCTTACGGCAGTATTTTTTTTTTTGTTTTTATTTAACTAGTTACAAAATTCTAAAATTTGATAATACAATGAAATTTAAGCATTCTTACAGATACCACTAAGTCCATTTAGCATTGAAAATAAATGATCATCATGATATTAATAATAAAAATTGATTTAAGTTCCACTTTTATATATATATTTTATACAATTTCAACTAAAACACGCTCACTGCAGGGAGAGGCAGATCGGGGTGCAATCATACGTCCAAACGAACACTATACATTGTATACATTTGTAAAAAGTATCAAAATCGAGTAAAAGGCCTACAAAAAATTATCTCGAGATACTAATATTCGTTTACGTAATAACCTAAAAATTGTCCTATTTAACACTGGAATCGCCGACGACGGCAGTGGCGCGCGGCGCGTCTAGCGTTAAAGGGTAACAAACGTAGGTATTTCAACTATTTGGCTTAATTATATTTATATAATGAGAGGAGCGCAAAACGAAAGCGGTGCGGCTCATGGAGCGAGGAGCGCGCGGTGAGTGTGGGCGGGGACTAGTCCTCCGCCTCCTCGTCCTCCGACTCTTGCTGCTGCAGCCATGTCAGCCACGTGTTGACCTGCAAAGTGCCACGCGGCATTAACGGCATGGACGAGTCTGGAATGGTATCTGGCGTGTGGCAATACGTTGCGCTCTATCACCTAAAACTTATCCCGTTGTAGCCTAAGCCTTACTCATTATCTGCAGGAACTCAAAAATATATTAAAAGTCAAAACCATATATTTCAATTAGAAATATATGAAATGAAATGACCAGAAAGGCATTTTTGATCAAACAAACAATTTTTAAGCGAGCAGCAAGTTGGGCTGTTTTTAGGTTAATGTGTTTTTAAAGTTTTATTTAGCTTTAACTGTTTGTATGTTTAGATCAAATATATATTGTAATATATATTTAATAGCAAATATAATAGCAATTTGCCCTTCCTGACGAAGTGACGACAGACGATTCTAGTTTTTGGTACACCCTCTTAATTTTACGACCTTGCAATCAATATGTTTAATTGTGAGTTCTACAGTAGCTGCCGTGTATAAGTAAATAGGTCACCTGGAACAAAGCCTCTCCCTTCCCGGGGTAGGCATCCGTGACGTCCTCGCGCCAGCGCAGGAAGGCGTCCTCCTCGCACACCTCCAGATTGTACAGGTACATGAACCAGCGCAGTAACATGCCTGCAACCAATGTCAACCAACCTATTTACCTTAATCCAACCACCTATTATTCCTTATGTGGAGCGGTATCGTTCATATAAATAAATCAATTCTTCTATACTATACTAACTTGTGCCCGCGACTTTGTACGCGGTACCAATATTCATAAATAATGGAACTAACAACACTAATATAATATACATAAAGCTGAAGACTTTGTTTGTTGGTTTGAACGCGCTCATCTCTGAAACTATAGTCAGAATTTTAATTAGATTCCAGATTTGACATTAGCTACTGTCATTTTGTGAAATAATGATACCACATATAATAGTGTAGTGATGAACACAAAAATCGATAAACAATCAGTGTGTGTATTTTATAATAAACTAGCGACCCGCCCCGGCTTCGCACGGGTGCAATATGCATGTATTATACATACAAACCTTCCTTAAGAATCACTCTTATCTATTAAAAAAAACCGCATCAAAATCCGTTGCGTAGTTTTAAAGATCTAAGCATACATACGGACATACAGCGAAAGCGACTTTGTTTTATACTATGTATTGATGTATTGATATTACAGAAAGTGACAGGATAGCGAAAGCGATGATGGCGACAATTTATAAAATAAATTATTACCATAATACATCTATCTGTTTTATTTGTCATGTTCCTTCATGATTACATTTTTTATTTATTTCATACATAATTATAAAAGAAAAGTCTGATATCGTTAATTAATCGTCAAATCTAAATTATCGGTTCAGAAATATTTAATTTCTTGATATACTTAGTTTACGAGAGTAAAATTATAAACGAGAAGGATCGATTCAGAAATATTTCATTTCCACATCGAATAATTTCGCAACATCACTATTTAGTACTTGTCATAACGTTGCAACACTGAAATTGTCAAATCTGGAATCGAATTAAAATTCTGAGTATAGGTCTGATTTGAAAAGTCCTTTTTGTGTTGGAATAGCCAATTTATCGACAAGGCTATTGGCAAATCAAATTGTTTTATTTGTAAACAGGTAATACTTGCAGCAAAGCGTGAGTTGTTACAGATATGTGGTATCCTCTGTTTTGCCCAGAGGCGTACAAATGTATTATCGAGCCTAACATCGGCACATGAAAACTGAAAAACGCGAGCCAGGTGAGAGCTCATTGTCGCCTCAGAAGGGTGGGGCGCCAAGTGAGTCTCGAGTGGGGGTCGAGTGATGATGAAATGAGGGTCGAATGAAGATGGAGTGGGGACCGAGTGAGGATCGAGTGGAGGTCGAATGAGCACCTTTAGGGTAGCGATGGTGGTGCGCGTGCACCTGCACGGCGTACACGGCGGCCAGCTGCAGCTGGGGCTGGCCCTCCAGCAACGCGGTCAGCAGCGGCGCGTACGCCTCCAGCAGCGCCTTCTCGCGCTCCAGCGCCGCCTTGTCCGGCGCCGGCGTCGCAGCCCCCGCCGCGCGCGACACGTGCTCCGCCACCAGCGCCACCAGCGACGACACAAACGCCGCGTTGGCGCGCACGCTGGGCTCCACGTTGGCCTGCGGGGACACGACTCGCTATATATCGGGGCTCCGCCTGCCGTCACGGCAGCCGTCGACGGACGCACCTTGATCCAGCGGTACAGCGCGTGCGGCGCGGGCTCGGCGGCCAGCTGGCGCGCGAGCTGCGCCTGCACGCGCAGCTGCGGCACCAGCGCC